ATTTCCATCTGTAAAATGGGGACGATTTCACCTACCCTACAGATTGTTATGAAGACTAAAAAATGATGTATGCAAAATGCTTAGCACTCGGTAACTTCTAGGCAGTTATTATCTGAGATTTCTTTTTATTCTTTATTACTTAGCCTTCAATGAGCTGCCACATCCTAAAGGTCTGATGTTTCAGAATGCTCAGCATCTTTCCTAGTATCCACACCCTGATAGTGGCTTAGCTCTTTAAAGATTGCAGGGAGCAGCATAAAACGTTTTATTCAAGAAACAGAAAAGCCAGTCCTTACCCCCTGCATGCAGTGGGACTTTACTGGGAAGGCTTATAGGGTTGTGCATTCAGATCTCCAGGGGAGCTTTAAAAAAAAAAAGGCCGGATACCCAGGCTGCATATCAGAGAAACTGCAGTACAATCAAAGGTAGTTGACAGAGATGCAAAGGCAATTAAATAGAAAACGGTTAGACTTTTTAGCAAGGGCGCCAGAACAAAGGGACATCAACACACAACAAAAACATGAATCTTGACCAATACCTCACACCTTGTACAAAATTTAACAAAATGGATTATAGACATAAATGTAAAATTCGAAAACTTTTAGAAGAAAATATTTGTGACCTTGGCCATATGTGGGTTTTTTTCTGGCCTCTCTATTCTGTTTCATTCATCTATCTTATCTTCATTATCACCTGGTCTTGATTTTAGTAAGTTCTTATATTTTTGTCTCTTCCAGAATGACATACAAATGGAATCATACAGTGTATAAAATTTGAGTATGGCTTGTTTCACTTAGAATGAAGAATGTCTTTGAGATTCATTTAAAAAAAAAAAAAAAAAGGTAGTTGAATTCAGGCATCAGCATTTTTAGGAACCCCTACCCAATCCCAGCCCAAGGGGATCCTAATGTGCACCAAATTAAGGTCCCAAAATGCCCAAAGGATGCCTTAATTGCTTCCTGCTGGCCTAACAAATTGTCATTGCTTTTTAAAAAATAAATTACTATTGAAGTGCAACAGATATAAAGATAGGTTCATAAATCCTTAATGTAAACCTCAGTGAATTATCACAAAGAAAATCTATCTGTGTAATCACTGTACAGGTAAAGGGAGAAAGGGAAAAAAATTACCAGAAACCTATGTATGTCCTACCCAAATTACTACCCACCTCTCATTGGCAAAGGCATCCAGAATACTAACATCATAGAATAGTTTTCCTTGGTTTTGAACGTTATATTAATTGAACCATGAAGTACGTATTTTTGTGTTTGCTCAGCTACTTTCACTTACCTGTTTTTCAGATTCATCCATTTTCATTGCTGTATAGGGTTCCACTGAGTAATATACCAAAATATATGTATCCATCTTACTTTTGATGGACACTCAGGTTGTTTTCAAGGTTTTTTTTTGTTTTTTTTGCTGTTATGAATAAGGCTGCTATGAATATACCTGTACGTGTCTTTTGATGAACACGTGTATACATATCTGTTGCATATAAGCCTAGAAATGAAACTGCGGGGTTGTAGCATAGAGATATTTTTAGCTTTAGTAGATATTCCTTAACAATTTCCCAAAGTGGTTTATACAAATTTATACTCTCACCAGCAATGTATGAGAGTTCCAGTTGCTCCACACTCTTGCTGACACTTGGTGTTTTCTGTCTTTCCAAATTTAATCCTTCTCATGGGAGGAACTGGTAATATAATTTCTTATTCATAATTTAAATTACTCCAGTTACTATTAGCACAGGTTGATATATTTACTGAACATCTGAATATCCCCTTTTATGAAGTCCCAGTCCAAGTCTCTTGCTGATTTTTCTGTTAGGTTGCCAACCTTTTTTTTTTTTTTTTTTTTTCGATTTGTATGTGTTAGCATACAGTATTTGTTTTTCTCTTTCTGACTTAATTCACTCTGTATGAC